AAATGGCGTGGCATAGTTATATGGTAAAGAATTGGAAATAATTATAGACGTAATAGATAGTGATTCCCTCAGCATCTGTGCTCCATTAGAAAGAATTGAACATATCAGCATCTCTCTTTCTTTAATTCTATCAACATCTCTTTTCAACTCGATAATTTAGAGAGAGAAAATGATATGATTCAAATTACCTCTTTTTAAATCGATGACAATTTCATAGGAATAAGCAGTATATTCTTGTTATGCTTTTAAAATAATTTAGATAATTTTATATGTTTTTCTTTGAAAGTCCGCGATGACATTGGAGAAATGAGCGAATTGCGAGAAACTACATACGAATAATTTATCATTTTTTCATTTATCGATAAAAGCCTCTTGGCAACACAGATGTATTATTGCTTCGTCTATCATTTTGTCAGCGTGTAAACAAATGAAATTTTTTTCCTGCTGCTAGAGTTATTTATGGAATTGGACGTTTATCATTTGAATAATACCTTAGCATCGCAATAGTCTTGAAAGCGTGAAATTAGCAAAATTGATAGACAATTCATACATATATGATGCATTCGGAGAGACGCTATTAGCATTAATTCTGTCATGTTATCTTTGTTGTTTATTAGATATAAAACAAGGATAGAATGACATAAATAACGCTAATAGTATCTTCCCGAACGCACCTATACACTTGAGTTATTGTTCTATTTATACCTGTTCGATAACTAATGATTGAAATTTGTATATTAATGTGTGTGTGTGTGTGTGTGTGTGTGTGTGTGTGTGTGAGAGAGAGAGAGAGAGAAGGAGGGAGGAAAAGAAAGATGGAGGAAAATAGTGTAAAGTACAGGGGCTCGATTATTATTGGGACTATTGGGATTTATTTATAATATCGCTACGATAAATGGCTGAACTTATAAGTGTGGAAAAGTGATGTTTTGACGACGAAATTTGTGCTGAATGCCATTTTGTTATTATTTGCTTAATTGTGACCGGTCTCGTACTTATGAAAGTCCTAAAAATGGACGGAAACTATAGTTGTCCTGGAATTTTATACGTAAAAGGATATATTTCATTCATTTCAACAGCTGTTCAAACTATGTATTTCTGCCCGAAATTAGGCTTATTTTACCTACCTTTTATGACTATTTACTGACTATTAAGGGAGAAAAGGAGAATTTCTGCTCATTTTTACAGGTATTTTAAAGCAATCTCGTCATTTAGATTTATCCAAATTGTCTTTATTTACAAATGGCTTGCAGTATAAATTTACATGTCATTCCTCGCTTTTGACGATTCCAACATAGCCGCCCCAACTCTTCAGCAGTCTTAAAATTGTGAAATTTGCAAATTGATAGCCATCTCATATATGTATAGTGTAACTAGATATTTTCGAATCTAAAGCGAGAAACTTTATGTTAAGAAGATGAGAGAGAATATTTGAATGTAAAGAAAGTATTTAATTCAATAATAATAATAATTTATTTTAAAAAATAATACAATCATTTATATTTTGACATATTTGGTGAGGCAACAAAGTAATCACTTCAAAAGCGAAACTGTCCGGGATGTCTGGTCTTTAATTATACATGATGTCTTTATTCATACATGTCTTCGTATATACTGAATCTGTTCGAATGAATAACTAATTTATATATTGAAACAGGATAATAAGATAATCTTTTATTTTTACATTTACTGCCAAGAAATAATTTAAAATTCTATTCTAATTGTACCGATATAACGAACTGATAAAAAGATAATGGGAAAATAATTCTCGATAATACAAGTAAGTAATTTATCGAAGTTATATTGTCAAAATTTGACTGCAACATTTTTTAATAACCTGTGAGTACCTACACTTAAATGAATGTCAAACAGTACAATAAACAGTTTAATAAATATATAGATTGCACCTGGGCATTTCGATCGATCCAAGGATGACCATGAACTCTAACATGCAAATCGATTTGTTCATGGAATGCACGTGTTCACTTCTTTATCAAATTATAGATAACAAAACGCAAGAAATACTATACAATATTGACTGAGTTTGAATTATTTAGCATTGTTTTAAATATGGAAATCAAGAATAAGTATATTTTCGACATATTATACTGTTTTATTTAATGGTCTTTTATTGCCATTTCTTTTTTTAAGCTTTTTTATACTTTTTCTTTATGAAAATAAAATATTGAATGCACTCACTATATTCAAAACAACACTAAATGCACTAATCTCAGCAAACTTTTTCTCTAAATGCGCGTCAAAACGTGCGTCATCTTTTACAAAATATATAAATATAATTAAACATTTAATAATATTTGGTATTAATCGCGTCATTTCCCAAAAATAAAGAAATTATTGACCAATCCAATATACATATATATCTATGTATGTGTATATTATATATACAATATATATATATATATATATACATTCGTTCGATATAAGCGGCATTAATTTCGCTGGTTTATAATCAGATATCATTTATTTCGACAACAAAAATCAGGCTTCAAAAATTTAACATTTATATTGATTATTGCGCGCTTGTATTACCTTAAAGTAACTTACGATCAACTTATATAACTTGTGTATTGCACATTTTTGCTAAATGTTACGCTTGATCAAACGAGAAAATCTTGAAAATAATTAATTGCATAATTTTTTTCCAAATATTACATCAGTACATAAATATTACATTAATATATTATACATACATATTTCTAAAAAATTTTATAACATAAAATAAAAACGCAATTTATTACAGTTTCGATTTTTTTATATTATTTTATTATTTTTTTTATTATTTTATATGTACAAAAATCATCACATTACTATGGAGTACGATTGCGAAATAAACATAAATAGAAATAGCACAGAATTCTCGCGTGATTTATCGTCATGCGTACCGAAAATCGGATTCGTCATGCATACTGAAAATCGGAATCGTCATAATGGAAAATCATGATTGTGGAAAGAGTAGACATCTCTTTAGCATTCGAAGGTCCGACATATAGTTTACCCTACTTTTCCCTATCGCGCTTAATTTGCGCGATGACTTCACAGCCGCAACGAGAACACAATATTAACACATTTCTCTTTGCATTCACAATAATGAATGTCACGTGCATTGATTGTGACTAACATGTTAGGATTTTACGCTAACTCATTGCAAGAGAAAAAAATTTTGTTTTGACTCGCAAGATTTGAGAGAGTTTATAATAGGTCTTCTGTCTTCTTATTCTGCAATTTTAGTCATGAAGAAAGGTCGATTGAATAGAAAGCAAGATAGAATAAAAACGAATCACGAAAATATCCAGTGGGATTTATTGAACGAATAAAGTTCAATGGTAGCAATAAAATATATTATAGTATTAAGAAAAACAGTTTTAAGTATCTCGAAACTGATGACTGGAAAATTACCCAAGGCAATTCAATAAGTTACTCACTGTGAGAAGCTTGGAAAATAGCAAGAGAGTTCAAATGATTTAATCAAGAATAAATTTCAAGCGTATAAGAATGTCTTTCACTTTCATTCGCAGCAAATTTGCGTGACGGACTTCCTGATTTCTTTTTTCAATGAATTTAAAAGATCGCATTTTTCTTGTTAAAAATTTTGTTAATTGAATTTTCTTTTTCTACGAATAAGAAGCGAGTTTTCACCGAGTCAGTTTTGCTTTGGACAATCGATATTGTTACCGCATTCTATCGATCCATTGTCGTGCAGCTTTATGCATTCCTGTTATTAAAATGCAATAGCCAATGCAGTTCCATGCACTGTTCAATTAATAGTCAGTGAATTATACCATAACTAGAACTATCATATCATATAACTATATATCATTTATTCTTTGGCAGCTATAATTGCATATGTGATTACGTGAATAATTAGATGCTACTACAATTTATGAACAGCAGTGAAAGCTGTAAAAGAGAAAGACTTGAAAGACATTCTCATTAAAGGAGATCATATAAGTTTTTTGGTTTCAAAAAACTTATATGATCTCTTTTAATGAGAAATTATCGTAAATTTTGATATTGTTGGCGTTTGCTTCTAATAAAAATAAATATTTCTTTATCTAACAATTTTATTTTTTTTATACAAAATTCATTTTCTTGCCGATAACCGCGAATCTTAGCACTGATTTATGTTACCATACAAAACTAACGGAAAATATTGATCGAGAATACTGATGTGTATTCATATGTATTTCTTTGAATAATGAGCAATAAACATTTTTTCGTAAATTCGTTTCATCCAGGACTTTATTCTGTGCTTCACTAATACTGCGACTTCTTATTATTATCTATAAACGAATTTAACGATGCGGCACATTTTCGCTAATTTATCTTGTCTGAACGCTGAAGTGCGTAAAAATTCATTTTTAATCTTTTTTCTGTTCTAAAAAATTATGATAATCTGTAAAACGCAAATTAAAAATGCAGATGTATTTAATTAAGATGTTTTTATCTATTTTAAATGTCGCCATTTGCATTTTACAGCGATGATTAATGAACAAATTTTCTTTTTTGTACATGTCACTTGTATTTGACATGTCTTATTGGCATATTGGAATACCATTGCAACGTCGTAATTACAAAATAATATAAAACTCGACTTGAGTGAAATTTATATCTCAACTTTTTTTTCAATTGCTTAAAGTTTACTCAATATTAATAGAATATCGTAAAGAAAGTGTACACACAAATAAGGATGGAATTTAGCTCATCCTAAGTGGGACGCAGTGGATTTAATGTTTTTGGAATGTAATTTCTGAAAATTTAAATTAATTTTATCTTATTCAATAATTTTTTGTGAATTTTTTGCTGCAATATTTTCTTAAATTTTAAGAACTTTAGGTATTTGCTCATAAGAGAATGACGTAAATAAAATAATAATACGCGTGCACCATAATACTTTATACTAACCGTATTATTTTGAAGAAGAATTTTTCATGTTTTGATAAAGATAAGCAAATGTAGTCATAATCCTTGATCTGTTTTAGATATAAACCAACGAGGTTGTGGGGTTTCAGCGGCCACGTACAAACTATCATCCACAGCATTATAGGCCGTGTTCGGTGTCCTTGGCCCATTGGAGAACGTGTATACATTGGTCTTCCCGATGGGACCACCCTTACGTACGATCTTTATCAACCACTGACTAATGGACATGAAGGTATTATTTATAGATTAATAATAAAAATTAACAATTTTTTACAACTAATTTATATTATTTTTTTCTTAGAAAACGCTTTAAATGTCTTTAATAATGAAAAGTTGTTTTTCAAATTAGATTTCCCCAATTAATAATTTTTACTTCAGATGACATAACGATAGCCATCTGTCCTGGTATTGGCAACAGCTCGGAGAGCGTGTACATTAGGACATTCGTGCACTTTGTGCAATGTCATGGATATCGATGCGCAGTACTTAATCACGTCGGGGCCCTTTCAAGTGTCAAGATTACGGCACCCAGAATATTTTCTTACGGTACGTGTGGCAATCGATAAAACTTATCTTACAAGGACGAGGTAATCGATTGAGAAAAATTGGCGGATAATAACTACTTCCTATATCGCGCAAGTATGTACACATCGCAAGAACGTTAAATAATTATATAGCTATAGAAAAACCTATCCCGATGTAGATTCGTGAAACTTTCCGGGTTACACTGTTAGTACGTCTTACAATTGTATTCATAAATATGATTATAATAATATAATCGATATAATTGATAAAAAAATTTTTTAACAAGAATAATGAAGAAATTGTAATCAAAATTATGCATTTATACTTTGCATTCTATATCTTTTTCTTTAAATACATATTTCTTAAATAAAATTTTATTCATATGTTTACAGAAATACTTTTTTTTATTTTACAATGTGCATTTTATAAACAGGTCACACGGACGATTATAGCGCGATGCTACAACATCTAGTAGAACAACATCCTAACACCAAAATAGTTTGTATCGGATACAGTTTAGGTGGTAATTTAGTAACAAAATATCTAGGAGAACGCGGTTCCAACAAATTATCTAATATTATAGGAGGGATATCGATTTGTCAAGGATACAATGCTCTCAAGTAAGTATAAATGGATATTTTTGATTTACAATTAAAATGAATTGATAAGAGGAATATTATTTACACGTTTTTTTTCACAGGGGAACGAAAATTCTATTAAATTGGCAGAACTTTAGACGTTTTTACCTCTATGTAATGACTGAATCGATGAAGAATCTTATTCTAAAACACAAAAATATGCTTTTGTCCGAAGATGTAAAACAAAGATGTAATTTGAACGAGCGAGACATAATTTCTGCTGCGACGTTACCTGAACTGGACGAAGCTTATACGAGAAGGGTAAGTTTAAAACTTTCTTTTAAACACATATATAATTATAAAATTTAAATAATGGATCCAATTTTTATAAAATATTTTGTTATTTAGGTACACAATTTTAGGTCTGTGCAAGAATTGTACAAGTGGAGTAGTTGTCTCTTTTATCTAGATAGCATTACAACGCCGATGGTATTCATCAACGCGTTAGACGATCCCATCGTGCCGGAGGTGTTGTTAAATCCAATCAAAGACCACGCGGGTGAATATCTAAACATGTAGTTTGCATGTATACGAAAATAAATAATAAAAAGAAATATACTAATCTCTCATATTTTTTTAATTTCAGCAAATCACTTAAATACATTGTATGTGGAACTAGCTCATGGAGGTCATCTAGGTTTTTACGAAGGTGGTCTTCTGTATCCAAATCCTATAACATGGCTGGATCGAACCTTAGTGTCCCTCGTGGGATCTCTGACTCTAGCGCACGCAGACAAGGCTCTTAAAGCCTCTTAACCCAATTTAGTTTGGTCAATGTATTTCTGTTATTGAACATTTATCGATATTGTGTCACACATTCTGATGTTGTGAGATCAAGCACTGTGCACCTGATTCATGTTTAGATCGGAGAGATTTATAACGAGATGAACTGCAACAAGATTTGCAATGAAAATGGAAACGGCAGATTGTAATTAATAAAAGTATCTGGTACATGCTTTGATTGTTTCACGAAGTGAACAGACAGTATCTTTCACAAACGATTCAGAGGGACTAAATGATAAGCGCGACTGTAAAATAACAAACGTTTGCTCACTAACATTTTTTAAATTGAGTATAGTCCAGGAAAGCTAGCCAAATTGCGTAACCCTTTATATGTAGTCATAAATAGTAAAATTTTTATTATGCAATGTGGCACAATCAAAATTAGCTTAATTATTTGAAAAAGGGAGTAGAAACGAAATGAATTTTCAATATTTTACTAAATACTAACGCTTCTTTCTCAGGGATCTTCTATAGGGCAACGATTTGATAGTAGGACTTTCAATGGTCCTTAACAAGTTACTAGAGATGCTCTGTATAAGGATTCAATCATGAATACACGTTGGATGTGAGTTTAATGCAATACAGAGTTTTGTGTACTTTTCACTAAGAAAACTTGTATTTATGTACAATATGTATTAATGTAAGATGTATATCGACTTAAAACATATTTATAAGCACATCTTAAATGTGTTTATTCTAAGACCAGTATTTATAATGAATTCTTATATTTAAGATCACTTTCAGTACAGTCTTAAGATGTAAGAGCATGAACTAATCACAGAGCCGAAGATATTAGAATCTTGAGACATTACTTAATACAGTCTTGAAATAAGAACTCTATGAATATCGACCTAAGATTATTAGCTTTATCGATATGGAAGGCTTACTGCTGTTGTATATATACAATAAATGATGTACGTTATTTATTAATCCGGAATTGATGATAACGTTAAATTTGCAAGGAAACCTATTAAATCAAATTCAGTATTCAAGTCTAAAATATAAGTCTGAAATTGTAAGTATACTTAAATATATACACGAAATTTTGTAAATAATACATTTTTAGCTAAAATTACAGTAAATTACTACGAAAAGTATTGAGTTTAACAAATTCAACATTATTACTGCCGGATTAATGCAAATACTAGTTTACAAAGTTTTGTGCAAGAATATGACAGCTGTTTCTAGGATAATTTCCAACATTGAGTACGAATCTACCATTGAAATGTTTCCATCTGATTTTTGAGATATAAGAAAAGACTTTCCAATATATACATTAAAATTTTATTGAAATTAGAAAACAAATCAGAAGTGTTGAGTGTAATTTTTTTTTTTTTTATATGTAACTTTGGAGCAGTTTTACATATTAGAGTTCAGCAGTAGCCACCTAATACATTTCTGTTCTAGTATCCC